TATTAGCAAGGTTAATCAGCACTGTACAAAATTCATTCAGTCCACTTTTCAACATCGATATCATGCAATGTTGGACAGACTCTCTCGCGGCGAAATACTGGATAAAGGGTGTGAGCAAATATTGGAAACTATTTGTAGAAAATCGCGTCCAAGAGATTCGAAAGTCGGTCGACCCTCAGCTGTGGTCACATTGTCCAGGCAGCCAGAATCCAGCTGACATTCGGACGCGTGAAATGAATGTGGAGCTGTTCAAACAAAACACGATTTGGTGGAATGGACCAAAATGGCTTTTAGGTACTGAAAGAGAATGGCCTAATTCTTCAATATCGGACACGCTACCACAGGAGTGTTTGGATGAAATGAAACATCCGCAAAGGACTGAAAAAACAGCAGTTCTCAAGACTACGGTCAAAGCACCAAGTATTCGAAACTTCATTGACTACGATCGTTTCAGTGACTACCAAAAACTTCTCAGAGTTACTGCATACGTATTACGATTTATACGGAATTGCCGAAATAAAGTTCGCGGAAATCAAGAAGAGCTTTCAGTAGAGGAAATCAATGATGCAGAAATCATAATCATACATGAAGCTCAAGGCTCTTTCGACGAAGCCCATCTCAAGAAAATCGAGAACACTCTTGGCACATTTGTAGACAGTAACATGCTTATTCGTTGTGAAGGTCGTTTAAAAACTCAAGCTTACCCTTCGATAGCAGACATCCTATTTTGGTGCCGAGACATCACAAGATAACTAGTCTGCTCATTCTTAGTTGCCACGACAAGGTTATGCATAATGGCACAAAGGAAACTCTCGCCGAACTACGCTCACGTTTCTGGATCATTAAAGGTCGACAGGTAGTAAAAATGATCCTGAGGAAATGCGTTTATTGCAAAAGGATACAAGGGCTTTTGTATGGTGCTCCGAGTCAAAGTCAGCTACCAGAGTTTAGAGTTCAAGAGAAGCATGCATTTTCATCTGTGGGTATAGACTTCGCAGATCCACTGTACATAAAGTCCAGCTCTTCACCATCAAGGAAGGTCTATTTAGCCCTTTTCACGTGTGGGATTTCACGAGCCGTGCATCTAGAAGTAGTTCCAGACCTTTCTACAAGCGCCTTTCTTCATTGTTTGAAGAGATTTGTTAGCAGACCTGGAACGCCAAGTATTATCGTTACTGATAACGCCAAGACATTTAAGGCTGCTTCCAAACAATTACAGGCTATGTTAAAATCCACAGAAGTGCGAACATATTGCAATTCAAGAAGAATAAAGTGGTACTTCAATCTCGCTAAGGCACCGTGGTGTGGTGGGTTTTATGAACGGCTAATAAGAGGTTTCAAGTCATGTTTGAAAAAATGCATCGGACAAGCAAGGCTAACATACGACGAGCTTACCACAGTTGTGACGGAAATCGAGGCAATATTTATCTCAATACCACTGACGTACCTTTACGAAAATGAGCTCGAGGAGGCTTTGATGCCATCACACCTACTCGTAGGACGAAGATTGTTAAGTCTATTAGAAACACCCCAAGAAGATGATGACGATGGTGGCTATGGCGAGCAAGATGATGTAGCTAGGAGAAGACAGAGGTATCTGAACACGGTCTTAGATAACTACTGGAGACGATGGAAGCGTGAATATTTAGTAGATCTTAGAGAATATCACCGTCTAGAGATTAAAAAGAGTCACGTTCCCGAAATCAGTGAAGGCGACATAGTTTCGATAGAAGATGAAAATCGCAAAAATAGAGCTACCTGGAAACTAGGAAAGGTCAAGGCCATCAAGAAAGGGCAAGACGAGGTGATTCGAGGAGCCCGCGTACGTTTAGCTAATGGTAACTTTATCGACCGTCCGATTAAAAAATCGTACCCTATAGAAGTAAATCAAAGACGCACAGTTACCGAAGTCGAGGAAGTAGATCACAAAACAGATGAAAGGCCAAAGCGAAAAGCCGCCATGATAGCGAAGGAGCGAATCGATATTATTGACCAGCTCGACTATCTTATGTGAACCTTCAATGAACGCTGGCCAAAGGGGGAGTGTAGGAAATTTTGAGCGCTCCTTCCTATCTATCTATCTATCTCTCTCTCTCTCTCTCTCTCTCTCTTTCTCTCTTTCTTTTGTATATAGTTGTTGTTGTTGCGATTGCATTCAGTTGAATAGAAGATTTCTTGCTTTCGAACTCAAAGGGAACGACGTGAATTATATCTCAAAAAGAACTCTCGATAGATGCGAACGCCAGTCACGAGGAAAGAAGATCGATGGGACGATTCACGTAAAGAACAATATTTAGAATAGAACTAAATCAAGACCTTGATGGACCGAGGTGACAACGTTAAAATTCTTACGTTATTTCTTCTCTCTGGACGTTAATTCTTCTCTCTGATTAATAATTCGTGGTTGTTTATGTCATTATATTCGCTGATGTTTATACTTTATCTTGCATATAAATTCGAATAAGAAATTATACAGTCCTCTGACTTTGATATAGAATTTGATCTTCAAGACGAATGAACCTATATGGTAATTCTAACCTGCCAAGTAAATAGATCTTAACTATTTACATCTTAGTAGTGATTCCTGGCAGGTAAATCTCTAAAGAGGTTTTTCAGTACGTTCCGTTCCGTGTTAGAGAGGTTATCTGTTATTTTAGTCGGCAATTGGAGTAGTTTTTGTTTCTTTTGTTCTTTTGTTTGCCTGCAGCCTCACTCGAGCTGTATACATTGAGGTTGTCACCGACATGACAGTAGAGCAGTTTATTCCATGCCTGAAAGGGTTGATTGCAAGACGCGGTAGACCTTCCAACATATATTCAGACAATGCTAAGACGTTTATTTCAGGCGCTGAGAAGCTAAAAGCCATGCTGAAGAGTGAGAGATTCAACGATTATCTGGTGAAGAACGACATCAAATGGACATTCAACTTAAGCAAGGCTCCGTGGTGGGGCGGCCAGTTTGAAAGAATAATCGTACTTGTAAAGCAGTCTCTTTACAAGGTCATCAGAAAAGCAAACCTAAAGCTCCAGAGCTCAAAGAAGTTATGCTCGACGTAGAGACAATCCTGAACAATCGGCCATTATGTTACGTGGAGGACGATATCCAAATGCCAGAGCTTACACCCAATGTCATGATGCTAGGAAGTAATAACGTTCTACTACAAGAGGATATTGAGGCGTTCAAGGATGGAGATTTAAGAAAACGAGCTAAATATCTTGAGCGATGCAAAGAAAACATATGGAAGGGGTGGTCCAATGAGAATGTCAAAGCTCTAAGAGAGAAGCATAATCTAGTGCATCATGGGAAAGAAAACCAGATATCACTGGGAGATGTTGTTCTCATCAATGGTGAAGCGAAGAATAGAGGCGGATGGGCAATTGGAGTAGTTGAGAGTCTTATAAAGGGAAAACATAACATTGTCAGAGCAGCTAGGCTAAGATCAAAGAAAACAAGAATAGAGAGGGCAGTGCAAATGTTATATGCAAATGTTAGAGAGGGCAGTGCAAATACCCTTTGGAGCTAGCATGTGACGAGGAACACAAAAAGACCGAGGCAAGAGTGAACGATAAAGAGAACGCACAACTTAATGCACAAGCGAAGGAGTTCAGACCAAAGAGGAAAGCAGCTACAATTGCGGTAGAGACAATTAGAGAGACATTTCGTGATGAAGAGAGAGAACTTGCTGATGATTAAACATTTGACGCCTTTTCGGACGTCAAATGGGGGGAGTGTGTCAGAAACGTGACTTTGTTTTGAACGTTAGACTTTTATCCGAGACTATAGACACACAATAGACTGTTAGACTTTATCCTGGACGTTAGACCTTTTATCTGGGACCTTAGATTTCTGTTTGTTGTCATTATTATGCAAATTAGTTAAAACCGCATGAGGAAGGGAGGAGTGAAAGTTTTGTAGATGGCGAGAAGAGAAAAAGAAAAAGCGTGAAGTTTCGAGAGTTTTACGATGTTTTGATACAGATTTTGTTGGTTTTAAATGTGAGTTATTTTTGTTTTCGTGCTTCTACGATAGTTCGCGAAAGCAACATCGCTGGTGTGTTCCTCCCTTTTTTCGGCTTTGGGTGACCTTTGGCTGGAAGGTAATAAAATATTACTGGGGGTCACTACCGTTAGTGGTCCTATTTCCCTTTCTGGGTTTCCGAGCATGACAGATGTGTGTACTTCTGTCATGTCCCCTTTTTTGGCTTCCAGCTACCCAAAATGTCGGCCTAGTCGCCCAGTTCGCTCTGATGTTGGTTCGCAGACAACTTGTTTATTGACGTCAATATCGCCCGTTTCAGAAACTTTAGAGGATAGTACACTGAGTAGTGAATCTTTGTACTCAACAACGGTTGTTATTCACTCTACTAAAGAGTCTGCGATTTTGCCATTAAATGTCTCGATCGGAAACATTAGGCCTGTATTGAGCACTGATACTAATGTGTTAGAAGATGCTGCAGACTTTACTGCTTCTCAGGTAGCAAACCAATGGTATTCATTAGTTTCTGCAACGCATGCTGCCTGCCGTAATATCGATGACCTACCGACCTTAGATTCTGATAAGATTGTTGCTGGCGGTCATGCTATTCACACCTCTAACTTGCAGGAAATGGCACAGGATAATCTAGCCTTTGATTCGTCTATTCTTTCCCCGTATTTAGAATGTACCGAGCGTCATCAGGCTAATTTAGAATGTACCGAGCGTCATGTACCCAGCCCACTCTCCTTAGATGGACCTGTTAGCCCCCCAATAATTCCAAAAATCAATTGTTCCTGAACAATCTCCGGGGGGCATTTACTTGAAGATCTCATTTTAATTCTAAATTCTAATTTTCATCTGTGGATAGTTACAATAGATTCTTGATAAATGTTGCCCTTGACATATTCCTTTGTTTTCAGGATTGAACCCGCTTTCTTTGATGAATTTCTTACAATGGTTGCGCTATACATTTCAAAACAAAACATCAATATAAGTGATGCTTTACCTGCACATGAAAAAGTATGTGCTACACTCAGATTTCTTGCTTCTGGAGCATCTTACAAGGACCTGATGTACTCTTTTTGCATATCTAGTTCAGCGATTTCAATATTCGTTCCCAAAGTATGTAGGGCCATTTATAAAGTTTTAGAGAAAGAGTATCTGAAAATACCAACTTCAGTTGAAGAAGTGGAGAAGCTGGCAGAAGCCTTTGAGTCCAAATGGCAGTTTCCACATGCAGTTGTGGCAATAGATGGGAAGCACATCAACATCCATGCACCCCCTGACTCCGGTTCAGAATATTTCAATTACAAAAAAACATTTTAGAACTGTTTTATTAGCAAAAGCAGATGCAAAATTTATTGCGTTTTGTTTGGGGGCAGCTCGAAGTCAGTCAGATGGTGGCATATTTAAACATGGAAGCCTGGGAAAAATTTGCACATTAGAAATTTTCCCCCACAAATCTAAATTGGGGAAGAGAATTTCTGATATTCCCTATTTTTTACTTAGAGATGCAGCCTTTGCATTAGATACCAGTCTAACCTTATCCCCACAGATACAAGCCTTATCCCCGCAGAAGTGCAAATGGTGACGCAAAATTTTTTAATTACTGCTTGTCACACGAAAGAAGAATAGTAGAAAATTGCTTTGAAGTTCTTTCCTCAAGATTTATAATCTTACTGCGCACTATTGAGCTTGATGTCGAAAATGCAATGGAGATAGTTTGTGCTTGTGTTGCTTTGCACAATTTTCTCATCACAAAGCAAGATAAAGCCTACATTACTCCAGGATTATTGGATATAGAAAACAGCAATGGCAGTGTAGTACCTGGAGCTTAAACCCAACTGGCCGATCATCTTCCTTGAGTGCAAGTGATGTGAGAAATAGCCTAAAGGAGTATTTTTATGATGAAGTTGCTGTTGACTTTCAGTGGCAAATGGTAGAATGAAAACACATTTAGTAAAATTTTTTTCAAAGAAAGTATATATGATCTATGTATATATGATATGAACATTTTAAATTTATGTCTTTGTTTCTTATTTCTTGTTTGGTGGCATCAAATCATGATAAAACATACTCCCACCACTCGGGCCAACACTGTTCTCTTGCCTGTTGGTAATATAGTTATAATTTGAAAAATAGCAGTTTGGATGGCAAACTTTACTCTCCTCTGCCAATCGGTGTTGCCAAGGCCTCTAAATGTGTTTACATCATCCCTGCCAAACACATCCTATTCATCTTCTTTCCTCTCATTGTTTGCAGGTGTCTCTTTTGATGCAACCTTCGCTAAATCAGACAATGCTGATGAAGCCTTTTTCATCCATGGAATATTTCTTTTTCCGCTGGGGTGTGTTGTTTCATTTTGGGGGTTGGGGGTGGGGTGCTAATCATTTCCAGTGACTGAGGGTTCTGCTCGTCATCTGAAGCCACAAAGGCATTTAAGATGTCATTAGATCGATCATCATTGGCTGCAACATGAGACATATTGTCGGTTTAAGATAATAACCTCTTTCAAAAACATGCATTCGTCAAAAAATCTCCATCTGGGCTAATAAATATTGAAAGAGCCACATCCTGTCCCCTGACTTTTCTTCACTTTTTGCATCTCTTCACAAAATGGGGTGCGAAGACTTTGTATTTTCCCTTCAGAAAAAAATACAGCAACATGAATATCTATGCTTTGCATATTTGCATATATATCCATCTATGCTATGCATAATATATAAATTATAATTTGCACGTAATAGTAAAAAATTCAGTTTGCTTTGTTGCCCAACTTTATCATGTGTCATTTGCTTGAAGGGAAAAACTTCCATGTTAAAATCTAGCCATTTAATTTTGTTAACACCCCGTAAACACGGTAGTGTTTTTGGCCCAGGTGTTAATTATAGCAACCCAATCTAAGACTGGACAAAACATGAAAAATATCGGAAAAGTGTATTGCCACTGACAAATTTTCAAAAAAATCGAAAAATCCAGCAATTTTTTATCTACAACAGGGTGGGTTCTCTCTGCTTAGATCTTATAATGGGTAGGCCT